TACGGGACAAGACCGGAACATCTTTATGAGTCATTCTCTGTATATACTCTTTGAACGAGTCGTATCATTCGTGAAGCCTTTTTATCACAAATTCAATTATGTCCAATTTCTTGTGGGACTGAGCTCTATAATTATTTCCTTGAAATGAATTATGACCCTAGGTTAATACTTCCCACTTGCTTACCTAAATTCTTAGCAAGGGACTATACCTGATAAATTTCTTAGAGAACCTTTTCATTCAAATGGATAGCATCTGCTCACTTGTGCTTATGCATGCACCGTCGGAAAGTTTACCTGTGGTATCAAGTTCAATGTAAAGCAGCCTAGTGTTGCGATCCTTCTTGAGTCACTCTTTTTCTATCCGGTGTATATGGCTCATATGGTTTGAACACTCACTCTACTCCTTTGTGAATATTATCATAAAACCTTTTCACTGTCTAGTAGCATGAGAGCATATCTCAACACATTTCTCTTACATAAGACCTCCTAGGAATTGAGTTCTACAGTAATTTCCCTGATATGGTTACAATCTTCTTCGAATACTTGCAACTTGCTCTTCCAAATTCTCAACAAAAGATATTATTGGATGAGTTTTCTTATAGGACCTTCTGTTTCAAATGAATAACATTGTCTAGCTCGTACACACACCATGATAACATCAACATGCACGACATTGCATCAAATATAAGGTAACATTGTGCTTAGACATTTCTTAGCCAACCTCTTTCCTCCTTATATGCCTTATAGAATATAAGAAACCACTCTACTTCCCTTTGTGAACATTCTCACGATACCACTTTACTGTTAAAAACCTCCCAATATGCATACCTACACCCTTTATATATAGTAAATTTAGGAAGAGTCACTGGCCCAAACAAGGCATTCTCTAAAACTTGAGATCCTCCTAAATTCTTCAATGACTTTCGGTTTTCCTCTTAAGTGTAAGACTTAGTCCACCTTATTCAATCCTCGATGAGTAACCCACCTTATTCCTAGTATTGTACCAATAGTGTTTCCTGGTATTGCGGCTTAAAAATTACTGTTGATACCCAATTTTGTCCTACTTTCCTTCTATTAATTTCTTTATTCTTTTTTATTTTTAATACTCTAGACATATTATTTTACGTAGTATTTTCCAATAATTTTAATTTAAAATAATATTATAGTAATGATTTCAAATGTTCCAGTAATAGATTTTGCTATTAGTTAACTACATATAAATTTTAAAGGAATTTTTACATTCATATGCCATTTAGTAAACTATATTACCCTCCATGCTTAACTTTTAATATAATTACCTTCTATATATCTAATTACCATTTATGTACCATTTTAAGATTTTAATTGTATTAATTAGTCTCCTAATTTTACTCAACCGTATATTTACACTCCCCTAAGTTTCTCTCTCCAAATCCCACCACCTAACTCACGTATCAAACCACACCCCACGATTTCCTCTTCAATCACCCACGATTTTCTCTTCTAAAACCAGCGAAAATCTTTAACCCCTCCACCAATGACAACCATTAAAAAGTTTTGAAGCTTTGAATTCGAATTTAGGTTTTCAAAAGACATTATTTGTTTGGATTGGATGTTGTTGCAAAGAATTGAGAATTCTCTCTACGTCTCTCTCTATCTCTCAATCCCAAATTTCAGTAATATAAGAGGAAAGGAAAAGAGAGCAGCAATTCCACCATTGACAGCCATTAAAAAGCTTTGAAGCTTTGAATTTGAATTTGGGTTTTCAAAAATCATTATTTGTTTGGATTGGGTATTGTTGCAAATAATTGGGAATATGGTTTGGAGTTTATATCTCAATTTTGAGGGGTTTTGGTGAAGATTAGACTTGGTTTTGGCTGAATTTCATATTGAAACTCGAAGAAGAAGAAGAAGAAGAAGAAGAAGAAGAAGAAGAAGAAGAAGAAGAAGAAGAAGAAGAAGAAGAAGAAGAAGAAGAAGAAGAAGAAGAAGAAGACATAACATACATTATATTGCATAAATTGTAGAAAAATTGTATTCTGTTGTTTATTTATTTTTCATTTATTCATTTAGCTATTGTATGAAAGTTGAACAACACTGTAAAAAAATTGTATTTAAGTGGTATTATATTGTAGTTGTATATAACTTAGTAGAAATAATGTACGAAAATTATAGATAATTTGTAGATAAGTTGTATAATATATAATTAGTTGTATGAAATTTATTTTTACTATGTATAAATCAGATACAAAATATACAAAAGACATATTGTATAAATTTTGTATAAAATTTGTATTTAAGTTGTATGTTATTATAGTTGTATTTAACTGGGTGGAATAATGTGTGAAAGTTGTAGAAAATTGTAGATAAGTTGTATTCCTATATAATGAGAGATGTTGGCATATCAAGTAACTTTAGTGTTCCAGACGAACCTGCATGAAAATAAAGATAAATTCTGTTATGAACAGTTTGTAGAAATTTTGTAGATAATTTGTAGAAACATTGAAATTCTGTATTTTCATATTAATTTTTCAAATGATATGTAGTTTTATTGTAGAATAAATGTAGAAATTTTGTAGATATTGTGAAAATCTATACTGATATATATATTTACTTTGACATGTAGTTTATTTGTAGATAAAATGTAGATAAAATGTAGGACATTTATATACAACCAGAATTTGATATAAAATGTAACAGCACAAACGTGCAACTGTGTTCTCGTTGGTGATACTCAATTCCATATTGAAATCGCGAACAGTTATACACAACGGATATGATCCTAAGTTTTTATTTTCCTTTTTTGTCTCCATGTATACACGAACACCTATATCATTCCTAATTTCCATTGGAGGACAATGCTCGTTGACAATGTATTTGATTTCTATAATTTTTTCGGATATATACAACTACAATATAATACTACTTAAATACAATTTTTTACAATATTGTTCAACTTTCATACAATAGTTAAATGAATAAAAAATAAATAAATAAACAACAAAATACAATTTTTCTACAATTTCTGCAATATAATGTATATCATGTCTTCTTCTTCTTCTTCTTCTTCTTCTTCTTCTTCTTCTTCTTCTTCTTCTTCTTCTTCTTCTTCTTCTTCTTCTTCTTCAATATGAAATTCAACCAAAACCAAGTCTAATCTTCACCAAAACCCCTCAAAATTGAGATATAAACTTCAAACCATATTCCCAATTATTTGCAATAATACCCAATCCAAACAAATAATGATTTTTGAAAACCCAAATTCAAATTCAAATTCAAAGCTTTTTAATGGCTGTCAATGGTGGAATTGCTGCTCTCTTTTCCTTTCCTCTTATATTACTGAAATTTGGAATTGAGAGATAGAGAGAGACGTAGAGAGAATTCTCAATTCTTTGCAAAAATATCCAATCCAAACAAACAATGTCTTTTGAAAACCCAAATTCGAATTCAAAGCTTCAAAGCTTTTTAATGGTTGTCAATGGTGGAGGGGTTACAGATTTTTGCTTGTTTTAGAAGAGAAAATTGTGGGTGATCTAAGAGGAAATCGTGGGGTGTAGTTTGATACATGAGTGAGGTGGTGGGATTTGGAGAGAGAAACTTGGGGGAGTGGGAATATTTAATTCTCCAATATTAGCACGCCTAAATAAGAAAGCCTACAACTACAATGATTCCTTATTTAATGAATTGTCTATATTTTGTAGAAATACTATTAGCATGGTGGGTAATATGCAAACTATGAACATATTTGATAATATAGTTTCCTTTTGTGGTATAGGAATGACAATTTCCCAATTTTAAATGTGGTCAATTTTAGTCCAAATTATTAAGACAAAGAAGCCCAAAGAAATTAGTTGGAGGAGGAAAAAAGGGGGCATTTGTATCTATACCCGCTTTTTGTGTCACATTTTAACTTGTGCCCGCTTTGCAAAAAAAATTGCAAACGTACCCGCTTTTTCGCATAACTTCAGCATACGAGGCTAAAGTAGCAAAAGCAATCATGCAAAACTTCAGCATTCTAGTAGCGGGCCTGAAGTTCAGCTCTAGAGCTGAAGTTTTCGTGTAGTAACTGGGAAACTTCAGCTCTAGAGCTGAAGTTTTCGTGTTGTAACTGAAAAACTTCAGCTCTAGAGCTGAAGTTTTAGAAATTCATAATCTAATGTTGACAATGCTTCTGCCATTGTTGCATATGAGGCTAAGACTAGGCTGAAGAGATTACTACATCTGATTTAGTTATCCAATCAAATACTGAAGATTTGCTTATGATCAAAGGTGGTGGATTCATTATATCAGAATTCTATAGTGCAGAATATAGGAGAAACAATGCAGTACCCAGCACTATGAGTGCTTCAGACATGGTGATTCCTATCACTTGCATGAAGCATAGCACACTTAGGATGGATAGCAGGCCCTTTGGGCTATTCTCTTATGTGCAGCAGTTACTCTTTTTGCAATATCCATACTTTGTGATTGCTATAAATCTCCAGATTCTGCAACATAGATTTATAGGAAGACACAGATTTATAGGAANCTATCACTTGCATGGAGCATAGCACAATTAGGATGGATAGCAGGTCCTTTGGCTATTCTCTTATGTGCAGCAGTTACTCTTTTTGCAATATCCATACTTTGTGATTGCTATAAATCTCCAAATTCTGCAACATAGATTTATAGGAAGACACAGATTTATAGGAAGACAGGTCCTTTGTTTGCATATTTCAGCTATTTATTTCAGAAGAAGAAGAAAACGAAGGAGGAGAAGAATGAGGAGAAAAGAGGCTGAAGTTATTTAAAAAAAGTGGGTATAAGTTAAAAGTTTTTAAAAAATGGGTATATGTTAAATGAGAGCGACCAATTTGGACGCCCGTGCAATTTTTCCGGAAAAAAGCCATTCAAATGCGGCCTTGTATATCTAGCCCAAAGTCAAGCCTTTCAATTTTTAAAATATCAGGCCTAACCGAGCCCATTTCCCAGAAGCCCAAGTATGTCCAACTAATTAGGGTTTTATTTTCTTTCTCTAAGCAGCGCCTCTCTTAACCTTGTCCTTTATAGCTATGCCTTTGTCCTCTTCTCCATTTTTGACTAAAATTCAACCTCCAACAATCAAAGTACAATCTTTGTCCGCCCCATTTCAAGCAAAATAAGAGCTTCTCTCATCCGATTTTGGCGTGTATAGATGACCAAGAGATGATCCTCCCATTTTTACACTACAAGACTTGTCGAATCTCTCTACCTCAGTCGAGATCTTACCATTTCGTGCAAGAACTGAGCGAATCACGTGAATCCCTATTACTATGCCAACGTTCGGATTTGAACGGCTCTGTTTGACTTCATTTGAAATCTGAAAATTTCAAATCCCGCTCAGAAACGGAACCCTAGTTTTCTCCTATAAATACTCCTCAACTCTCCAGCCGAAAGATCATCTTTTGGAATCCTGGAAAATAGATAGAACACGGCAAAATCGAATCAATAAGTAATTCTCTTCTTTTCTGTAATCTCTGTCCCTATTTAGTTAGCTAAAACAGAGTTTCGATCTTGTTACGTGGAGGGAGTAAATTTGAAGCTTCTCAAACTCCCGTTCACTGCACCACACCAGGTGAAATTCGGACCCATTCTTATTTTCGTTATCGCCGACGAGTTTTCTTTGTGTTAGAACTCATGCTTTAGGTTTTCGAAAGCCTGTTTATTGAACCTTGTGACAGAGTGTATAGACTTCACGCAATAGAAACTTTGTCCTTAGGAAAACTGATTTTATGACTACTTGTTCAAATACTTGTTTGATGAATGTTTGACGAAATGCCTGTATGTATACATTAGTTTTCATTTGTTGGGATGTAACCATGTGCAGGCTCTTAAATGATTATTGGTGTGCCGACGGCGTACTGTTTAATTATGAACACACACGAAAATGTCCTTGCTCCTAAACTCTTAGTTGGAAGTTAGTTCAGAATTCTCTTTAATTTCACCCATTCCATGGATCATTGAATCAGTTAATGTGTTGCATTTTTTCTTGTTTATTTTAGTTGCATTATGGTAGTATAGAAACCATGTATGTTAGAAGATTTATATCTATGTAATACTTGTAATCTGAATGCAATAGAACTAGTATGCTTAACAATGGGCTGGAGTCTCTCCCCTATTTTAGAGATCATGATCTAGTTATTGTTTAGGTTATAGAGGTTATGCCCAAAACAATCTGCTTGTCTGTATGATAAATTAAATATAGTTGCTGATTTAAATGTTGAGGCTTTGGTTTTCTGCTAGCAATAGAGTTAAACATCTATAATAACTTAGTAATAATGAAAACTGAGTTCATAGGTACATGTTAGACATATTTTTAGGCCTCAATTGTATTCTGTCAAACTTAAGGAATATATAATAGCATGTTAGCTTTGTTAAGAATTAAACCTGATTTGTTTTCATTATAGAGATCTTGATTTTTGCTTAGGGATAAACTACAGAACATATAAATTGCTCTAGATTTGCCCTTAACAGAGCCATGTCCTAAGAAGTAGAAACCATGTATTGTTCTTTCTTTAAGAAATATTGGATATACACATGTTCTTGAAATTTTAAGAATCTCTTCTCTGTTTGTTACAACTAATTGTATTTGTTTTATCTGGAATATTGAGCTTGTCCGAACACATATAATATCTATGTGTTACAGTGTTAACATGGTTTGTTTGTGTAGTTTAGAGACTATTAGATTACATAACAATATGACGCTTTACTTTATCTATTTTCCTGTGAATGTTTAAGAATCAGAGCCAAAGAGTTTCAATTTAAGACTCAACGACGCCATAAAAATCGCATGGAGTCAGCACACTTTGATGTTTCACTGCTTATGTAGCGACAAAACAACAAAATTATTCCGCATGGCGGTTCTGGCGGAGAAGCCAGTCAATTGTCCTTTACATTTCTGCATTAATCACAATGTTGCTTCTTTGTGTTTGGTGACAGTTTAAATAGTCATATTTTAGAATCTTAATTGTTATGTGATACTATATCAATTCGGCGAGGCGTCTTTCTAGATAATAATAGAGATACTCATCACATAGAACACATCTTGACATAGGGAATATTAACAACATTGGTTTTTCAACTATATAATTGTTTTTCTTATTTGAACTTTTGGAATTAGCTTTGTAAAATGGGCAAAACGTGAGTTTAACCAAATCTACTATATTAAGTTAATCTACTTTACATGCACGTAGACTTGTAGAACTCTTTAGACGTAACAATAACTTTAAACACAACACATGTCTTAGCCTTTAATCAATTGACTTAAGTCCGGTTGGTAAACCATTTTAATGTGGATCTTAAGTAGTGCTTTACACCTTTTCTTTAAGATTAATTGAATCCCTTACCTTAGAATCTCTAATGTTTAGTAGACCTTATAGAGTTAATAATTGATAATTTAGGTGTCCTAACTCACCTTTTAATATAGTTAGGTGGTGACTCTTTAGTTAACAATTAATTGAGGAATCACCAATATGTTATACTCTAATTTGATCTGTGTTAAAATGGGGTATAACAACTACCATGTTAAACATGTATGGTTTGTAACAAGTGTTCATCCTCTCTGTCTGTTTCGAACCTTTTCATTTGCCTTTTGGGTAAATTGTGTTGTTTTTTCCTTTTTGATTGCCCTTTGGCCTGGATAATATGTCGGTACCATTGCTTTTTTGAAACTTGAACATTCATTCCCATACCATTTTGCTCATAGTGCATAGTTGATAGCATGTTAGAAACTTGAGCGTCCACCAGATTGTATAGAGAATCGGGTTCTCTTTGAATTTCCACTGAAGATATTAATGAACCAAATTGTATAGCGATTTGGTCCTATATCGGTTTGGTACAGTGCTAACTACTGAATAAGTATATAAATAAGATACATGATAAGTTCCCACTATATAGAGAACCAAATTCTCTATAAATTTCCACTGTAAGCAACAGGCTGTAAAACAGCCAGTATAGGGAATCATGTTCTCTAATTGTTCTTGCAGTAGCTCGGTAGTAAGTAAAGAACATAGAGGATTTTTATGTGGAAAAATCTCAACTCAAAGAGACAAAACCACGACCTACATTTATAGGTTTTCAACTTCACTAACTTGTAAACCCCTATGACAAGCCACTTTGTAATAACTTTATTACAAAAGGATTCAACTCAACTAACTTGTGGTACTCTCACCACAAGCCACTTTGTGACTCTCTAGTTACAAAAACTTTGACTAACTTGTGATATTCTCATCATAAGCCACTTTGTAATAACTCTATTACAAAGACTTCAATCACTCTAACTTGTAATAACACTATTACAAGCCACTTTATAACTCTCTAGTTACAAGGACTTTAACTTATGACTAAACCTAGTCACAACATAAACTGGAGAGTTTACGAATTTGGGTTTTCTGAAAACAGCTTCTAAAAAGCAAGATAAGAGTTACAATGAAGAACAAATATCAAAGACTCAACAAATCTAAGGACTTAAGATATCTTCAATCTTGGATCCGGTCCTTGAGGTTGAAACAACTTTGTTCTTGAGAGAGGTTGTTCTTGCACTTGAGAGAATATTTTCGTTTTTGATTTTGCAAGTCTTGAACTTGAATCTTGTGCCTTGCATAAGGTTTATACTACAAAAGACATCACCTTAGTGATGTCAAATCTTGTTTAGTACATGCCTCCTCTCGATGGGAAGTGACGGCTGCACTGTTTGCTGTATTGTTTGCTGCACTGTTGCAGGCAGTCACTTTCCAGCTGTATTGTTGACTTATACTTCTGTCGGGGGAACATAAAGGTATCAGGTCCCTAATCTGGTTCCTGTGAATCTGAAGGCACACTGCCCATATTATCTTGAGTTGATTAACTTGAATGATTGTACCAGACATGATTCAGGTCCTTTATCTGGTTCTCTCATGAGGTAAGTCATTTTACCTTCCTTGATTGTATTTGTACGTGTGTGACATCACATACAATGATGTAAGCAAGGTAGGTAAAAAAGCCTTCCACAGAAAGTTGACTGTTGCACTGTTCCTATACAATAGCGTGTGCAGGCAGCAACTTTCCTACTAGGGAGTTGACTTCATACAGTCTCGGGAACTGGTAGGGACCTGTTCCCTAAGCTGTTCCTTCTACTCTTTCTCACTTGAGTCATTGCTATCAGCTTTGAGTACCAGGTTCTTTTCTTTCTTTGGTTCTCTTCCTTCACTGTCTATCTGACTTTTCATCTCGTAGGTCTTCAGATTTCCAACCAGCTCTTCTTTGGTCAGCTCCTGCAGGTCCTTTGATTCAGTAATAGCATTCACCTTGCTTTCCCAAGGGCTGGATCCCAACCTAGAACTTTATGATCTCAAGATCTTGTAGATGTGTAACAGATTCCTTATCTGGTTCTAAATTATAAGTTTGTTAGATCATCAAAACATAAAGTAAAGTACTTGTGTCCAAGGTACTTGTAACCTATCATAGCCTTATTGTGCCACACACTTGTCTCCCTCCCATGAACTCGTAATATCATTGTGTCTGGTTTGTTGAGTTTATCATACCACCACTTCACCACCGGTAGTCTCACTTTCCATTGTAATATGTAGACATGAACTCCTTGTAGATTTTTAGTTGATATTCAGTGTCACCCAAGTCGGTTGCAGTACAGTTAGTCCTTTATTCCTTCTATTAACACTTGTGCTATAGACGAGTCCACCATTGATACGAACTATTTTACGATAACTATTTCCTCAATTTATAGATTTTCTTCCCATTTCTTTTCGCCTCATTCTTCCTATTTAGTGAATAACTATACACTCTTCCATATATTACGTGGTATTCTACCTTAGTTGGGAATTCATCCTGCTCAGCTCTCGACATATGTTATTTGTGGGAAAGTGTGTTAATCCGCATATTCTACCTTAGTTGGGAATTCATCCTGCTCAGCTCTCGACATATGTTATTTGTGGGAAAGTGTGTTAATCCGCATATTCTACCTTAGTTGGGAATTCATCCTGCTCAGCTCTCGACATATGTTATTTGTGGGAAAGTGTGTTAATCCGCATATCACTTAACATTTCTTTGCTTGTAAGATTCTTAATAGACTCTCCATCAAGTCCAAATGCACTCTTGAGTTATTATAGCATCACATTTATTTCTCCCACTCGTTCTGTTTTTCTTAAAGCGTTGGAACTTTAGTTTAATCGCAAATCCATGATTAACCCATTCTAAAAACTCACAATCTTTCACATTTGGTCTATAGTACTTTCTTGGTTTCAGTCACACCCCAAACCTGGGGAGGCGTGCCTGGCACCCGGTGTCGTACTGGCATGAGCGAACCACTCTATATCTCTTTTTTTCCTTCTGTAACTATCATGTGCCAACATGACCACTACACATAATGTATAGCTATAAGTTAGAAAATACTGTATCAATAAACCATCTTTCTTAAAACATGAATACATCTGGGCCGTCAAGGCCTCTGACATGCTGTACAAAATGAACCTCTGTCTACAAAGCCTTTAAGATTATTTGACATCAAATGGGACAGGGTACCAGACTACCCATAGGTCTGTAGCAAAACTCTGACATGATGACTCATAGACTCGAATGCACTCCGAATGAGGTGGAGTCTTACTGATCCTTCGCTGAATGTCAACCTCATCCACTATGAGGGATCGTCAAACTGATTATCTATACATGCAGACATGAATGTAGCATCCCCAACAAAAGAAATTCAGTAAAATAATGTACCGAGTATGTAAGGCAGAACTGAACTATAACAATAAGTCAACATTAATCAAAGACATATAAAAATCAACCTGAATCTCTGAAGTGCCACCGTATATGCATACTTATTATACTTATATATATATATATATATAATAATTCTCTTTGAATCTATTATCCATATCATACGATGCATGACTGCCCAACTTATCAGTGGTAACTACTCGATTGGTCGTAGCGCGGTGGTAAATGCATGACTGTCCGACCGACCATAGGTTGATGGTAAACGAATATGCATGACTGCCCAATCGGTGGTAAATAATGATATATAACTGCCCAACCTGGTAACTGTCCGATCAGCCGTAGCACGGTGGTAAATGCATGACTGCCAGACTGGTCGTAGCTCAGTGGTTAATGTGTAACTGCCCTACCGATCGTAGCTCGTTGGTAAATGATGATGCATATAATAGCATTATAAACATTAACATTTTTATCAAATACCTCAATAGGGAACTCGATACATAGTTAGACATGTTTGAATAGCATTATACAGGAATGAATAACGTAGACTTTTTTAGTTACTAAGAGTAGAACCATTTATGAAATAACATTACGGTTATGTATCGTTACTTGGATCATGCCAAAAGAAAGAAAGATAAGCCTTAAAATACATGAGCCGATTCTCTTGACATTCCCTCTAACACATGACTTTTGCGAAAACATGTATTGTCGGATCGAAATAGGAAAAAATTCATATGATATTCTTGAGAAAAATTGCACTGTATCCCCTTAAAATTGCAACAACCAGAGTAGAATATGATTCTTGTCTTGGACGTTAACATAGCCATCATGAGTCTTAAGACATTATTTTCCATTTAATGGTGATATTCCCATAAAATGAAAGCTAAATATTGGAGAAGCTTCAAATTCCAATTAAAACCATGCTGATGAAGCAATGCAAGACTTCCAAAAATGTGACACCACTGTAGCATTCACACATTACTCATACATTCTTTAGTTGTTATGGTCCCCGTGGATCAACAATTCTTAAATTAACAATTACACAATTATCCACATAGTTAAGAATTATCTCAAATTACTTAAAATAGTACTCACTTTTAACATACCTTATACATCTTACTATTATGGTCATGTGGTATCATGTATGACACTAGTCCATAAATACTGAGTATTTTAGCTAGGGCCGTATTTTATTCTAACATGTCAAATTTTGACGAAAATTCAGTTTCTTTGATTTGCTTACCGTCTCACCTTCACGAATTTACTAATCACTTGTTTGAAATAGCATAAATGCTTATAACCTCAAAACAGTCTTGTCCTCATCCTAAAGTATTATTATTAAAATATTAATAAATTATGGTACCATATAAAATCAATACATACACTATTATTTTATT